ACGACAACCCTTTAAATATTCTAGAAGGGTATTCTGCGCCTTTTGAGATGTTACATGATGTTACCGGATACAGAATTAGACTTGAATACATCAACCTAAAAATGGAGACTTATCAATCAAAGTTACACCCAGTAGGATATCTCACGTCGTCTTTCTTTCATTCATTCAAAGGTTTATATAATTAGATAAGACTATCTTTAACATTGTTTCACTTCTAAAACAGTTCAGAGAGGAGAGTTGATTAGGTCTTTTATGTATTTTATCCTTTGTTGTATACAGAATAGTAGAATAACAGGAGTAGAAACTCCTTCATTATATTTCATGTTATTTCTTTGTCTTTCATAATATTTCAAATTATCCAGTTATGTTTCAAATCTAGTAGTGTTTTATGTTATCCAATTATGTTTCAAATTATATGGCTATGTTTCAAATTATCCAGTCATGTTTCAAATTATCAAGTTATGTTTCATGTTATATGGTTATGTTTCAAATTATCCAGTTATGTTCCATGTTATATGGTTATGTTCATGTTATATGGTTATGTTCATGTTATATGGTTATGTTCATGTTATATAATTATGTTTCAAATTATCTAATTCTGTTTCATTTTATATGGTTATGTTTCATGTTATCTAGGTATGTTTTGTGTTAACTATAGTTCTGTTTCAAATTATCCAATTATGTTTCAAACTATCTATTTATGCATTTTCGCTCCAAATTATCTCGTTGTCCTATCTGGAATAATCTGTCTCTTTTGATCATGACGTTAAACACCATTTCTCTCTGTCTCTGTCCCTTTTGACCAAACGAACCTAGATTCCCGTACACCTAAGACAGACGATTGAGAAACATAACGAAGTCATTTCTAGCTAATTTGGGTTTTAAATGGCGTCAGTTTGCACCCGACAACATACAGAATTAAACAAATTTCAAACCACTACTGTACCTTTTGAACTGAAACCAATGTTTAATGCATACTGGCCCAATAACCTTTTACCTCAAATTACCAGAATCTACATGTCTCATTTATCTTATTTACTTTAAAGTATTGTACCCTGTTGGTGCAAGCTGTGGTGGCGTATACAGGATTTATGAAACAAAAAGGATAGGCACTGGTTAGGGAGTAAAAAGGGCCCACCACTGGACACACGAGGGAAGTGCGAAAACGTTACAAAATAATTAAATACAGATTATGTTTAAGAAATCGGTCCTCACAGAAATATTAGGGGCCATGGTGGGTCAGTGAGTAAGGTGCTGGCTCACTAACCGGGAGGTCGGGGGTTCGATGGTGTTGGCCGAGAAAGTTCCTGAGGATTTTCCAGTGTGGTTTTCCCTTTGGCAGTCGTTCGGATGAGATGGAAAACCCGTGCACGTAAAATAATCCTTTACAATTGGACTGGGAGCCACGGTGGCTAGGTGGTTAAGACGCTGGCTCGCTAGCCTGGAGGTCGAGTGTGTTCGATCCCTGCATTGGCCGAGAAAGTTCATCTGGATTTTCCGACGTGGTTTCCCCTTGTCAGTGGTGCAGAACGGAGGGCCTGACAAGGACAGCTGTCTAGTCCTTCGGGTGTATACATTGGAATGCACGTAAAATATCCCTTGGCAATTGGAATTCGATATAAGAGTAGGCGATAGTGCCGCTGCCCGGGGAAAGTTTCCCTCATAGCACACTGTATGGCGTATGCCCGTCTTCATTAGCCCAGTATAGAAGCAGAACAGTAGGACGTTAAACCCCACTTCATTTCATTTCACTTACAGTTGGGCTAATGAAGACGGGCATACGCCATACAGTATGCTATGAGGGAAATTTTATCCGGACAGCGGTACTACGGTCTACTCTTACATCGAATTCCAACTGTCAAGGGATCTTTTACATGCATGCCAATATATACACGGTGCGATGGGTATGGAATCCGGGTTTATGATCAAATTGATTGCTTGATTTATTTTTGTGTTTCTGGATCAAAGATATTTGTCATAAACAGTGATTGAAAGTTGAGTAAATTCTTAACTTAAGTCTGAGAATGCTTTGAGAACTCGGGCCAGATAAGTAACGCCTTGTCCCCTCGGAATGTTTTTTTAATGTCGTTGTTCCAATACAGGGCCGTCGGATTATGATTACTACCCGAAAATGTATATTTCCCTACTGCCTAATACGCCAATGCCCCAACGGTTACCTAAGATAGGAAGAAGATAAACAGTTTGGGTTTAACTTCCGCTTTTATTTCTACACCATTTTCTGTGCCATCCGGGCTAATGAAGACGGGCATACGTTATGCAGTGTGCTGTGAGGGGAAGTTTACCCAGATAGTGGAATTTCCGCCAACTCTCCATCATAGTCCAACTGCCAAGGAGTCTTTTACGTGCCCGGCAACGTGTACAAGGATGGATCATCTGAACCACTAAACGCCTGTTTTTTTTGACAGGCTGGTAAATCCCGAGAAACTTTCACAGGCTTGTAGCGTTTAACTGTCACTTTCATATAGGTGGTGGCGTGGCCGAGGGCTAGCGGAGGGTGGGGGCGAATGGTTAACGTGTGCGTGTTGTATCATAAGGTCTGCCATTGAGTCAACTGGCGTGGTTTCGATTTTCCGGTTGTACGTGACAAGAAGAATTGTCGTCTGTCCAACCTCGTGGGTTTTCTCCAGGTTCTCCGGTTTCGTCCCACTGCTACAGACCCCTACGCGCCAGCGAATTATCTAAATATAAGTGAATCATATGTTAGTCCCGAAATGACCTAGTTTGTATCGAGTGGACCTTAAACCCTATTTCTCTCTCTCACTCTCATATAAAAGGTTCCCATAAAAAGAGAGTGACTTGCTATGTGTTGTATTTATACTTAGGTTGATGTATATATAACATTATCTATATAGACAAATTAAAGAATTGTTGTGGTATCCATAGTGACAGATGTTCACTCAACCATGTAATCTATTTACATAAATTTACCAGTCGACAACCTCCTCACTTCATTCATAAAATACATATCAGCAATTTTACTGACCATATAATTTGATCAACAGGAAACTATATTTAATCTGACATGTATACAATGGAATGAAATATATTGGGGTTTAACGTCCTGGGCCTTGTTTCTCGAAATCTTAACTAAAGATAAAATCCAAATTTTAATAGATACTTCAGTTTTGATTGGCTAAGCACTAAAATCAATCTAATATTATCCAATCAAAATTGGGATTTTATCTTAGTTAAAATTTCGTAAAACAGTCCTCTTCTTTTCTGCACCAATCGGCTACAATGAGTACCGGCATACAATATGTATGAGTGCGGTTTCGCCCACTTTTCATCGATTTCCAACTGGTTTTTCGCCCCAATCTAACCACTGCACACCTTTTCTTGCCAGGCCCCCCGTTTCTTATTTCGTTTGATTTGTTATATACTATTCAAAAAAAGTAGGGGATATTTGATTTTGGGGGCATAATACTAAAATATGCAAATGACTACGAAAAAAGTCACTATAGAACCTAACAGAAGAAACATTTCCAGTTACATGTGATGCCCAAACGCACCAATAGCTACCGCATGGAATGCAGGTGATGCTTGGGATCATCATGGGGGTCCAACCCAAGATTTGCACGACTCTGACTTTGAATGTTACAGTCATTGTGGCATTGAATTCCAGGGTGGAAACATCAGTTTAATTGTTTTAGTGACCAGAAAACAAATTTTGATATGCGTCGGCTTACCCAAAATGAAAGGTTACGTGCCCTTGGCATGCTACAGATCGGCACAACACAGGCTGTTGTGGCGCGGACGATGAATGTTTCTCAGTCTGTCATAAGCAGGCTATGGTCCAGATACCGTGATACACAATCTGTACAGGACAGACCACGCTCAGGTCGACCAAGGGCGACAACTCAAGCCCAGAATCGATTTATCCATACCTTGGCCTTGAGAAATCGTGTCATCACAGCAAATCAGATCAGCGCTCGTCTTCAAACAGACACTGGTGTGAGAGTGAGTGGCCAGACGATTCGGAATCGACTGCATAGGGGTCACCTTCGCGCCCGACGTCCTCGCGTGATCCCTTGTTTGAGAGATCATCACATTCAGGCAAGACGTCGTTGGTGTAGGGGTCGTCAACACTGGGATAATCGACGCTGGAGCAATGTGATGTTTTCAGATGAGTCAAGGTTCACTGTTGATTTTTTGGACAGACGTAGGAGGGTGTGGCGTCGTCGAAACGAGCGCTTCCAAGACGTTAACGTCATCAGACATGATCGATTTGAGGGTGGTTCTGTTATGGTGTGGGGAGGCATCACTGTTGCTGGAAGAACGGCTTTACATGTTATTGCAGGGCGTGTTACAGGCCAGTACTACCGGGACAACATCTTGGCAGTCCATGTTGTGCCGTCCGCACGACGTCATGGCCGCCGTTTCATCTTCCAGGATGACAACGCAAGATGTCACAGGGCCAGGATCGTTACAGGTTACCTCCAACAACAGAACATCACCACATTACCTTGGCCAGCACTGAGTCCCGACCTCTCCCCCATCGAGCATGTCTGGGACATGCTTGGACAGAGGTTACGTCAACGTCAACAACGTCCTGCCAATGTCCAAGAACTTGCTGCTGCGTTGCAACAGGAATGGGACAATCTGGACCAAAATGACCTTAGACGTCTCATTAGGAGTATGCCACGTCGGATCAATGCTTGTTTGGCAAACAGAGGAGGATTTACCCGTTACTGACTTGGTTGTGATGCTGTGGTAACTTTGCTGTTTGACCCCGGGTATCATTTTACCCTTATAATGGTCAGTCTGTGTCTTACTTAGTCTAACGATCATTTGGAATAAATCGATGAATGTGAACTTCATTTCATTTTGTCATTTGTTTCTTCGTCAGTTTCATTAGGTGACTTTAATAACACTTAAAAATCAAATATCCCCTACTTTTTTTGAATAGTATACTTTCGATGGCCTCTACTACATGAAGATCTGACCCATTGACGTCAATGATCTGACCAGTAGTAGTTAAAGCGAGATCAAGCCTTCTATTGAAGATGGACAAAGTACCGCTATTCAACAATCCAATATCTACAATTTATTTTAGTTTTATATACGCCAGAAAATATTTACAACTTAAATAAAATACGAAAATTATACACAATAATGGATTACAAATATGTACAGAAATATCAGATATACTTTATAAATTATACCATGCAGCTACATTAGGTGTTGCTTTTCGAAATTTTACTCTTTGAAAACTAAAACAAGGCTCCGCTGGTTAAGTTCGGGTGTTAGCAGCCTAGATCTACCATTAAATTTGATTTAATGTGGTTAAGTTTGGGTGTTAGCAGCTCTAGTTCTACCGTCACATTTGATTTAATGTGGTTAAGTTCGGGTATTATCAGCTTTACCATCACATTTGATTTCATGTGATTCCATGTAGCTTTAGAGCTACCACATTTGATTTAAAGATACATTAGATAAGATTTAGACATTACGAGCAAAGATATTAGCCTTTGAAGGTTTGACAAGATATGTGCATTAGCCTGGCTTTTCCATTTTTAAATTAAATCAATGGCTGAACCGATCCAGTTTACGTAATAGATATCCGATGTCATCGTCATCCAGAGTTGATTATGGTCTTGTCCTGTTAATAGATGTCTAATTAATAGTTTATAGAACATTTCAGACCTAAATAAAGACCTGCAATAGGCAGATTTAGCTCTTGCATAATGTGTGTTTAATGTAATAGATGTTATATTGCCTTCATTGTCTTGAACAAACGCGGGTTCTATTAGCTATAATCTCGAGTGGCGGTTGATAAGAAATCTAGGGACTAGTTGTGCTTATTATCTATTAGGTTTAAAGCACAGGGACCTGTATACGGTACGGAATGTAACACAAAGACTAGTTATGGATTTGGACATTCGATAGTGAATATTGCACAGGGACTAATTAAGTAATTTGATATTCGACAGGAACTATAACACAGGGACCAGTTGAGTTTAATATCCGGTAGGAAATGTTATGTTTAAATGTTGAGCAGGAGTCAGATCTATAACACAGGGACTTGAACGACGATGTGGCCCCAACCAATAATCCAATAGATAAGCCACACCGGATCCAGTTGTTAATCCTAAACTGTAGGACATCGTCATAATATTTCCTGCAATATATGAATATATAACATATAAATATTATATTTCCTATAACATATGAATATTATATTCCCTATAACATATAAATATTATATTTCCTATAACATATAAACATTATATTTCCCATAACATATAAATATTATATTTCCTATAACATATGAATATTATATTTCCTATAATATATAAATATTATATTATAGTTCCTGTATTATGAGGGCATAACAAATGCGTTGACAGGCATTCAAGTTACCTATCACCTAAATAAAGGTGCTTTAATTCGAATTGATGAAAAATGTAATGGGGTTTAATGTCCTACTTTTCCAATGAAGACGGGCATGTGATATACACTGTGGTATATGGGAAATTTAGCCTAGGCAGCGGCGCTCAGGCCTACTCTTAAATCGAAGTCAAACTAGCAAGGGTTCTATAATATGCACGTCAATGTGTACACGGGACATCGATTTTTCGTCTAATCTGAACGACTCGACACTGTCTCGAAAAGGCCCTCCGTCCTGCACCACTGACAAGGGTAAACCACGCATAAAAAACCCACATTCGAAACCTGATGTGGACCGAGAAGAACCTAGAAGATTTCACAAGACCGCTTCTCACATGCCGTGGGGTATTGGTCTACAGTTTGAATTCGCAGAGTAGCTAGAAAAGCCACTGTCCGGGCTCAATCCCACCCCCATGCTCAGATGTTAGTCTCAAAAAGGCCGAATATTGTGTTGACGCGGCGTGAAACACCGTTCCATTGTTGTACGTTTTAGAACAGCTTGCAACAACCCAAATTTTGACATGTACCGGCGGTCGACATTACTTACCGCAAAGTTCTCGTTGTTCATCAGGAACCCTGGATGGTGCTAGAATCATGGGAACACTTCCAACGTATCCATTAGTCAGTCCCAATAACAATGATAACAATAAAGGCCAGGCTTCTCCAGTTAATATAGGATGGTCACGTGGTGTGGCACATAACATTAGTAATGGTACTAGTATAATACGACAAAATGTCGCCATTAGCAGACGTCCTCTTGGCCAATCATATGGAATGGACGCAAAGATCTACAAGAAACATTAACCAAAAAAGTAAATGCATTTGTTTTCTCTTTTTTCTCCCTTTTTTCTTCTCTTTTGGGTTAATTTTGTTCTGTTTTATTGTGAGGTTGTTTTATTGTGAGGTTGTTTTATTGTTGTTTTATTGTGAGGTTGTTTTATTGTGAGGTTGTTTTATTTTTTTCATATTGAGTGAAGCATGTCCGTACGGCTAGCCCCCGGATCCATTTACTTGATTTGACATCTGTTGTTGATCGCTTACAATGTCTGTGTAGTATGTGTCTAGCCTGTTTGTGTGTAGTGCGGTCCTCCTGCACTTACTGATTGAGTCAAAATAATTCGAGCTAAAATTCATAAGGATCAATGATTGTAACACTTCGTTATTGCAAGCAGAATACAAAAGAAATATCTCTGCTGCTTGATCCAAGTACGCAAATTGCTATAATATAACTTTTAATCGCATGTATTTAGAATAAATCAAATTAATTGAGACGTAACTTACTGGTCTGGCTGACGCAATGGTACACAGTTATAACGTCAAATCCCCTGATAAACGTTATAAACGAACTTCACTGTACTCACCTTACCAATAAAATCCGAAGCATTAAATATGGCCATCATTATAATGGGCATCCAGCTGCCTAGATGACAACTTATTACTTCTGATTCTATACCAGGAAATAAACATAGGGTTACAAAATACGCCAGACCTATAGATAACATATAGGGCCAAACCGTCTTAGATACTTCATATCGCATTCTTAAACCTCCTGTAATTATAAATAAATAAAACACGTTAAAGACGCTTGAATACAAAATTGGTCGTTCTTAAAGGGGCATTATGTAGATAAAGAGATGGCCGTTCTTTAAGGGTATTATGTAAGACTTGGATAAAGAGTTGGTCGTTCTTAAAGGGACATTATGTAGATAAAGAGATGGTCGTTCTTAAAGGGTATTATGTAAGATTTAGATAAAGAGCTGGTCGTTCGTGCTATAATAGTTTCAAAATAGATAATACAAAATGAATATATTGAAAATTTAATTCAATTTATTTTATTCTGGGTAAAGTTATGAGTGTTTGAAGTTTCGATTGTCAAGTACCATTGCTCGATTATCCATTTTATCTTTAAATTATTACATGATGACGGGGGAGGGGTTGAGACGCCATGTCCTTGAAAAAATTGAGAGAAAAATCCCGTTTAAATGATGTATTAAAAGTTATTTTTGAATTATATCATCCGTCAAGTTCGTTTGTAGGAAATAATAATGCCATAAACGGTTTAGTATCACAAGTATCCGCCCCTGAAAGTCAGGGGAACATGTTGTCATGTCGTCGACCCGAGAGCCTTACAATAATGGGTCTAAATTATTTTCTTACTTTTAATACTTGAAACTTTTGGCACGTGTTCCTTGTAACTTTGACCTTGAAACATGACCTGTTCTTCATTACACCTGGTGATATCTCTAACTGTAACGTCACTACCACTAGGTGTCGTGCTATCGGACGTCCTAGGGGGCGTTGCTGAAGTCGGGCTCTGTATAATCAAAACGCCATATCTTTGTCCGGAAGACGGTTCCTGAAAATCAACCTGAACAACAAAAACAAAATTGACTAACATTTAGAACAAGGACAGATTGTAGCTGAAGCAACTAAATGTATGGATACATTTAGTATTTAAACATGCATTAAAACTATGTCAATTAAATTAGAACTTGCTGGTTTCAGGCAAGGTCGTGCCTATATATGGTCATGCTGAAGATGTTTTATAATCTTACTAAGCTTACTTCTTCTGTACAACCGCCTCCTTTAGTTATCCCCCTTTGATCATCTGCTATAGCAGCATTCTCACACAGACTGACGTAGAATCTGACAAACTCTGTTCTTCTGATGATGTGAAACACGATGAAACAAACCCAGAGTATGGATATAGAGATGATGAAGAAGATGATGGTGTTGATTCGTTGATCATTGAGTAGAGCTTTGGTTATTATCCGGTTGATAGATATAATCAAACCAGCAGCACCTGTAATATTATTACACAAATCTCTTATATGTAAAGGGGGTCACGGTGGCTAAGTGGGTAAGACGCTGGCTCGCTAGCCTGGAGGTCGGGTGTTCGATCCCTGCATTGGCCGAGAAAGTTCATTCAGATTTTCCGGCGTGGTTCCCCCTTGTTAGTGATGCAGGACGGAGGGCCTGATAAGGACAGATGTCTAGTCGTTCTATTGAGACGAAAAACCGAGGTCCCATGTACACATTGGCGTGCACGTAAAAGATCCTTTGACATTTGGAATTCCATATAAGAGTAGGCCATATCGCCGCTGTCCGGGCTAAATTTCCCTCATAGCACACTGTATGGCGTATGCCGGTCTTGATTAGGCCAGTTCGGAGCAGAACAGTATGACGTTAAAAACCCCATTTCATTTCATTTCATTTCTTATATGTAAAATGTTTCTACACGTACGTATAATTTCAACAGCTGGTAGTGAAGTCAGTCGGGAGATTTTATTTTCAGGCCTGTCGACTGGACTCTACATTATAACACATATAATAGCAACACATATGGAAAAGAAATGAAATGGGGTTTAACGTCCTACTGTTCTTCTCCGACTGGGATAATGAAGACGGGCATACGCCATACAGTGTGCTATTAGGAAATTGTGCCCGGACAGCGGCACTATGGCCTAATCATATATCGAATTCCAACTGCAAAGGGGTCTTTCACGCGCATACCAGTGTATACACGGGACCTCGTTTTTTGTCCAATCCGAAGGACTTTACGTTGCCCCCTTTCCTGCACCACTGACAAGGAGGAACCACGCCGTAAAATACCGATGAACTTTCGCCAACGCAGGGATCGAGCCAACGTCTTACTCACTGACCCACCGTGGCTTCCACATACTTATTTATTTTTCGATATAGTTGCCTCACATGTTGTATTACACCGAGAGCATTCTCTTCAAAACGTCGCCGAAATAAATGTTTACCATAAGTATGTTTTATTGGTAGTTAAGCTGGTCGGGAGAAGCTATTTTCATGTTGGTTCTGGAAGTCGGTTGGACAAAACATGAACTTAGAATTCCCGATGGACATGACCTCTCCTTAACCGGCTAATATCTCCCTAACCGACCTTATTTCTCCCTAACCGGCATAATATTTCCCCAACCGGTCTGACCCCCCCCCCCCAACAGGCCTGATCTCCAACAACAGGCCTTATACTCCCAACAGGCCTGATCCTCGCTACTGGTCCGAAAATAGACAATAGCAACGGTGTCTAATTAATTTTATACTATACTTCCGATTTTTGGTTTTCATTATTACAGTAAGAACTAAAATACATCTTTATTATAAGTTAATGCTTAGTTGACCTGCTCGGACCTTACCTCGTATCTAGTCCGTGAAAAGATACTTTGACCTGGGCCTGTTTTGACCAATCATAGTATAGCTGAAGCTAGTCTCCATAGAGACGACAGAAATAATAAGGATGCAGTTAGATCTCCGTGTAGTGTAGGGCAAACAAATAAAAAAACTGGAACGAAATAAAAACTGGAGCGGGCTAATGAAGACTAACATACGCCATGCAGTGTGCTTTTAGGGAAAATTTGGCAAGGCAGCATCAACACTAAGGCCTACTCTTATTTCTAATTCCTACGCCAGTGTGTACACGAGACCTCTATTGTCAGGCATTCTGTTCTGCAACACTGACAAGGGGGGAACCACGCCGGTAAATACGCGAACTTCCTTGGCCAACGCCAGGAGCGAACCCGAGATTTCCTAGATAGCGAGCCAAAGTCTTACTCACTCACGTCTGAAGTGTAGAATGCCCTCTGACCTTCAGCGCCACCTGGTCTAATAAAAATCAGTCGAGACGGCGAATCAACGAAGTTCCGGGTTCAGGGTTAGAGCTGGGATCACATCATTTAATGTTAAAACGGGTACAAAAGCCAGACGAGATCATTTTAAACCAATCAAATCGTGTAGAACAAAATCGGTCATTATGAATATGATGACTTAATGGTCACGGAGATCGATAAATTAGCATACTAATACAGATCATTAACATCCCAGATCTGTCATTTACCAGATCAATATAAATATGATTGATGTGATGGCTTGATGTGGTCAGAGTTCTACTAAAGAAATTGAACTAGAATATACTATTACTACTGTAGATCATGAAGTAAATCGGTCAAGGTTCTTTACCAATAACTACCAATAATTATTGACGATCATGAACTGGGTTGTACAGTTTGACACTGATTCAGAATCATTTCTGTTTAATCGTCTTGGTATACTTTACACCAAAAGGCCTTATCACCAGTAGCGTAGCTGTGGAGGGGCGGGGGTGGCTCAGCCTCTGCCGGCATTTATTTTGTTACGGGCGGATCTTGGGTTTCAAGTGTATTGACACACTTGCAGTTTACTATCGGAAAGGGTGTTTGATGTGTGTGTATTCTGTGGAGGGGGTACAAACTTAAGGACCGCTCCGAGGTGGCACAAATACTAGTTACGCGACTGCTTACTATGACATTTAGTTAAAAGTCAACTTACTCTCTCCCGTCATAACAGCTTGAGTATATCTAGCAGGTAACATGCTGGTAAAACCATAAAAACTAGATTGTTGAACTGAAAATATTACAAATAAATATATAATCAATACTAGCCAACATGGCCGCCGAGAGAATCGCTGGAGCAAGACAAATTCTGTCCCTCTGACACATAGGCGTACGGGGAAATTTTTGACTGGGGGGGGCGGGGGCGGTAGTGGTTGGTGCCCAAAATGGGGGGGGGGCGGGCTCGTACGCCTATGCTCTCACACCCCACCAACACATGGCAAAGCCTATAAAAAAAATAGATGTTCTAAACCGATTAAATAGGTATTTTATGGCCCCTTTTGGCCGAATGGGCTTCGACAATTTGCTAGCCAACAATTTGCATTGTACTGATGAATAACGAACACGTAGAAAGAGGACTCCTAAAAATCGCGGAAATACGCCCATGTCTTGAAAGCAGCTTATCCGAAAGGAAAACTTTGATGTTGACAAAATTTGATGAGGAAAAGATCCTTCAAGAAATATGATCTCTATCGAGTAACACGATTTGAAACAAAAAACTGTTAAAATTGTAGCCTCTATCACGTTCACTGGGTTTTAGGAATAAGGGACATAACTCTGGTACGAAAGATTGAAGGCTGCTGAATATCGATAGTCGTCGTCGTCTCCTTGCCACAATGCTTCACACCAAATTTGTAAATGATTCATCAAAGCCTGTAGCCGCTGTAGCGTTCACAAACCGACCGTAGAGAGACGGACCGACGGACAGAGTGACGACATAATCCGCCCAAGCCCTATTATCTGCCTATTCATATACTAAACTGAAAGATAGAAGTGACTAGTTACCTGTTGCTCCTATAGCAACCACAGCTACAGCCAATAAGGTGACTTTATAGGCGACATCTTGTGTAAAGACTTGATACCACACGTCACACAAGGCAATGGCAAGTAAAACAGCAAACGATATCAGATAACCAAATGTTATTCTAACTGGCATAGTCAACGCTTCCACTAAAACATTATTCACACAAACACTAATAAAAGCAACGATAATATACGTCATACTCATATCAAAGATGATCGTGCTGTTGGGAAAACGATTCTCATAGTAATCTACAGCAGTTATAAAACTATTATACGGCAATAGAAATCCTGCTCCCGCCAAAACCAGAGCGAGGTAAATACAGCTACATGGATCACGTGGTGGGTTTAGACGATCCTGATTAGTCCTCCGTGATGACCGTGATGGCGACTGTAGTTGACAGTAACCTCGAGTCAAATTTTCATCCATATTGAGATGTTGTCCTTGTTTTTCTTGATCTTTTTAATGATTAATCGACATATCCTGAAAATAAAATAAAACAGAAATGTATTAGAAACGTGATAACTTCTTCTAGAACACCTGGTACCACAAGGCGTGTCCAGAGAGGTGGGGGGGGGGCTCACTTCACTTTAATCCTATACATGTATGCACCTAAATATCTCAGAGCTCACAAATTTCACGGGTAATCCCCCAAACCCCACGCCAAACTTGACGTTCTCTCCACCTTGGATCCGCACTGTTCAAATTCCTGGACACGCCCATTAACCACTGATCATTATAAAAATTCATATAGGTAACGAATATTTTGTTGTACCCATAAATGATATAGTAACACAATCAATGATTTTCAAAAATTTTGGTTGTTGCAACCGTCAACCTAATCTCGGTATCACTAGACAAGTCCGCAACACAGGTATAATTACGAGAAAGAGAGAAATGGGGTTTAACGTCCACTCGACACAAACTAAGTCATTTCGGGACTAAGATATGGTTTGAAATTTTATTGCAATAATTCGCTTGTGCGTAGGGGTCTTTAGCAGTGGGCGGAATCCGGAGGACCCGGAGAAAACCCATGAGGTTGGACAGGCACCTACTCCTTGTCACGTACAACCGAGGATTCGAAAACCCACCAGTTGACTCAATGACAGGCTTTATGATACAGCGCGCACGTGCTAATCATTCGGCCATCCAACGCCCCCTGTATAATTACGATGCTGTGTCACTCCGAAAACATTTTAAAGTTTAAAGTTTAAATGCTACAATTGTCAAGGTCGTGCAATAAATCGCGTCAGAGGTCATACGAGTGGCTTTTGGCCCTATGATGTCAGGCATTTGACTAACCAATCAGCATTGATGTTACTAGTTCCGTGCAAAACACGCCGAAAGCTCGCCGTAACAGACCGTTTCATTGGCTGATCCCTCACATCATTCAGAACACGTCAATGATAACAACTCGTCCAGATACTAGTGTAGTAAAGACAAGTAAAACGAAATTTTGAACTATAAAAATGAAACGAAATAGGATCCGTGTTTTAATCAGATTGGGTCTCCTCAAAACAAACAAGCAGACTGTTTGTATTATTCGACTAGAATATACTGAATCAACCGCGGTACCAATCGCACAAAACATATACAAAACAGAGAGACAGGGAGAAATGGGGTTTAACGTCCACACGGCACAAACTAGGTCATTTCGAAACTAATATATGTTTCAATTTTATTTCAAGAATTCGCTTGCGCGTAGGGGTCTTTAGCATCTGGAGGAAACCGGAGGACCCGGCGAAAATCTACGAGGCTGGACAGGCGATCCTACTCCTTGTCACGTACAACCGAGGAATCGAAACCACGAACAGAAAACAGACGGGATCATACCAATAATATGTCACTGGTTTTGCGAGGATGGGAAAGCAGTAAACCTACTGGAGCTGTACACACAAGACGCTGGCTCGCTAGCCTGTTGGCTAAGTGGGTAAGACGCTGGCTCGCTAACCTGGTGTTCGTATGTTCGATCCCTGCATTGGCCGACAACGTTCATCCAGATTTTCCAACGTGGTTTCCCCCTCGTCAGTGGTGTAGGACGGATGGTCTGACAAAGAGAGCTGTCTAGTCGTTCGGATGGGACAAAAATTCGAGGTCCCGTGTATACATTGGCGTGCACGTAAAAGATCCTTGACAGCTGGAATTCGATATAAGAGCAGACCATAGTGCCGCTGCCCGGGCAAAATTTCCCTCTTAGCACACTGTATGGCGTATGCCCGTCTTCATTAGCCCAGTTTGGAGCAGAACAGTAGGACGTTAAAACCCATTTCATTTGATTTCACTTCAGTTCAACTAAACACACCCAACAACAGCTGTCATATAAAACTAAGCTTCTGTTACGGGTTAATACAATCTTTATACAATTAATGACGTCGTTTATCACACCTGTCCACCCCAAGTCTTTGATTTCTAGACAAAGTCTACAGATGGTTTTATCATACGACGTATTTATAAATACTTGTTAATTAGGAGATAATTAAACTAATTAATAAACATATTCAGATACGACATAGTTGTTATTCACAAGATTTTCTTCTTAATAAGAATAGGGAGGTTGGATGGCCGAATGGTTAACACGTGCGCCCCGTATCATAAAGTCTGTCATTGAGTCAACTGGCGTGTTTTCGATTCCCCGGTTGTACATGACAAGGAGTAGGGTCGCCAGTCCAACCTCATGGGTTTTCTCTGTTTTCTCCGGTTTCCTCCCACTGCTACTGAGATAAAATTGAACTATATATTAGTCCCAAAATGACCTAGAAAACAGGGCATTAAACCATATTTCATTTCATTTCTTGTACTTTAAGAGACGTTTCAAGGGCGTGAATGAAATTGGGTTTAACCTCTCACTGTCCTGCTCCTACGACATACCGTGTGCTATTGACACTACGGCCTACTTTTATTTTGAAATCCAACTGTCAAGAGTTGATGCAGAAAAGTGGTATGTTTAATCCCATTTCAGTAGTAAATATTTCACCATTCTCACTTTCTAGTAACCAATGCAACTTCTACAAATTCTGCAAAACATTGTCTGTTGATGAAGTTCGTGATATGAAACGAGTTCCATTATTTAGGGCACATTGAAGCCAATGTAATGACTATTCTGTAGCACGATTTATACACACAACTGTTTAATCTTACCGAGAAATAAACTAATGCTAGATATTTTCTTCTCGTCTTTGTTAAATGTATTTCTTGGTTTCATGTTAGTTTGGTTTACAGTAATTTTATCTGTTTTATGGAGTAAAGGAGATGAATATTCAAATGAAACATTATAATGGGTACAATACACTGAGTGACGTATCAAATTGGACATTATACAATACACTGGGTGGCGTATCAAAAAAAACATTATGCAATAGACTGGGTGACGTATCAAATTGAACATTATACAATACACTGGGTGGCGTATCAAATTGAACACTAAGCACTACATCAAGTACCAAGTATTGTTCTAAAAATGAGGCTCGGTCCCCAAACTTATAAGTTCAAGTTTTTAAAGCTAAAGGACCGGATTTCTTTGATTCTAGTCGACTGAAATTATACCTCTTTGAGCCGCAAAGTGAGACAGTTATAAGAAGGTTAAAATAGTGTGTATAATATTCATTTATTCATTAAAATACCAGGTTATTTCCCTTGAGACTAACGGATGTAGACTATCAATGAATAATATCTTAATTATATATAATATATCATCTATACCCTTATACACCTTATCTTATATTTCACTTGTTAAAGGAGTTAAACCTCTAACTCAATATTATCAATAATATTTGGGGGATCACGTGGCTAAGTGGGTAAGACGCTGGCTCGGTAGCCTGGAGGTCGGGTGTTCGATCCCTGCATTGGTCGAGAAAGTTCATCCCGATTTTCCGGCGTGGTTTCCCCTTGTCAGAGATGCAGGACGGAGGGCCTGACAATGACAGCTGTCTAGTCGTTCGGATGGGACGAAAAACCGAGGTCCCGTGTACATATTGTTGTGCACGTAAAAGATCCCTTGACAGTTGGAATTCGATATAAGAGTAGGCCGTAGTGCCGCTGTCCGGGCAAAATTTCCCTCATAGCACACTGTATGACGTATGCCCGTCTTCATTAACCCAGTCGGAGCAGAACAGTAGGACGTTAAACCCCATTTCATTTTCATTTTCCATAATATTTGAAATTAAAATCACGAATTACACTTCAATATTGGTCCATTTCAATCATTATTGATGTTGTTATCTTGTCGTGAAACTATAGGAACATAATATACAATATTTAAGACACAATGAATATGTTAAAATCGGTACACGAGATCGTGTACTCTATGGGTGCAGGCGCCCTGAACATATAATTCTAAATCATTTGGCCCAGTGGCTCATATAGTAGAGGTATAAAATCTACGGGATAAAGGTCACAATATCCGTAACTACCTCAGAGCAACGAGGGGGCCGGGAAGTATTCTGAGGGGTGCTGTAAACTTGACCGACCCTAGGGTTTTTTTTATGGTCGGCAATTTTTTAAAATCCCCCCCACCCCGCCACCTAGGTAAGGGCCTGACACTGTCCTAATACAAAATAATCGTGACTTAGTAAGTCTATTTATATATAAATCGAGCCATAATATATGAAAAATGTTTTTGTGAAGACTTGTTGATCTGATCAAGTGTTTGGTGGTGATGTGTTGAAACGTATTAAGTAGGCATTCGTGTGCAGCAAACCGAGGCGCAAAATGTACAAAGATGTTGTCTTCGTCCGAAATGTTTTTTTTGATGCAACTATGATTAACGTGTATTGTTAAATTGGGCTTGGGCTATGTACCCCGTTAGTCGGTCATGCGAGAATAGAAGTAGGGTAACCCTGGTCCCTCCCCCCCCCCCTCTCTGGCTCCTCCCAGGCCCCTACTCCCTGACAGCTAAGATTGAAATAGAACGCTCTCCAGAAAGAACAGTAATTTGAAATACCACATAAGGAAACTGCTATATTGTAATTTTTATTAGCAAATGTAATAATATGGATATTATATGGGTACTGGAAAACCCGGTTATTACACCAACTGTCGTGGGTTCCACCCCAGGCTTGTACGCGACAAGGAGTATTGTCCCCTGCTTTACTTGGCGGGTTTTCTCGGGACTCCGGTTTCATTCCACTGCTAGAGATAAGATATACTCTCTCTCTCTCTCTCTTTCTCTCTCTCTCTCTCTCTCTCTCTCTCTCTTAATGGCAAGTCTCATCGTCGTCCCTTTAATAACAAAAAAAAAGAAGAAAAAAAAAAGAAGAAAAACCCGCCGCGTTGATTAAAAGTCGCCTAATTATGAACATAAAACATTCGAGGCTACGTTCTAATATCTGATCACCCAGTCAGTTAATGAATTATAAAAGAGTTCCTTAGATCTATTAAACGTCACTAGATCCCCAAAAGGCAATAATTATCTGTAAGACGATAAATCTTAGTCGCGTTTCACTTGGTCTAATTACTGTACGTTGATGAACGAGGAACTCGAGACT